ATACTCATGGAAAAGTAATTCGGGGACGTTTTCATGTCTATTTTGTAAAAGCAATTGATATTAACAGGCCTACGTTTGGCTACAGGCTATCAACAAGTCATTATGGAGATGACATGAATTTAGGTCCGGAGTATAAAAGACAAACTCCAGTTTATCATTAACATCATCACCATATGTAAAAACCATAAAGTCGTTGACAGTAAATTACATTTCCATGCATCATTCAAACCTGTACTGTGTATTCCTGTACAGGCAATAATGTCTAATGTATGACAGAGATCCACAGAGCAAAGCATTCCAGTTCAAACTTCTTGCTACGATGTCTAACTTTCATTTACGACTTTATATTCAAATCATACTAAAAAATACATCAGTTGTAAGCCATCTGTAATGTTTAATAAACTGTTGTTCATTTTGAAGATATTCTACCCCCAATTTAGGGTGATAACCTAAATTAAATTGTTCAATGTATTAGCACTTGATACGGTGAAATAGCTTTTTCAAAACTCAAGTAGAGTATGAAACTTATACTCATTTCCCTAACTATAAAAATTCATCACATAATCGAGTAAAAGTAATCAGGAAAAGTTATCTAAACACGAAAAACACATGATTGGTGCATTCTAATCTTAACAATTGGTCAAGCTTATGATACAAATGGAGTCCTATGTATCACACCCATGAAATAATTGTTTTTCAGTGAGGATGCTTGACTGGTTGAACAATAATCCTACCGGCCACCTACCTTCTCCTGTAGAGCTGGTAGGGGACTTCATCTCATACAAATTACACAGGATTGGGTTTTTGAGAACATGTGGAAAATCTGAGTTTGTGTCTACATTGCGGTAACATACCTACAACATGTTATATTGAGTTTTATCAAAGACCGGTACCCACTTCATCCTTACATCCAAACACTTGCACAACGTGGGTTAGCCATCAACCTGAACTGCAGAAATCAAATGAGTCTGCATGTGATATTGAGGATATTATAATACCACACTAATATTGATGGGAATCGGAGAATCAAAGAGTGACGAAGATGTATAATTAGACTTGGGTATTTAAAGGGGAAGGTATAACCATCAAAAAGCTACAATATACAACATACTCTTGTGAAAAATATAAAAATCACATCTGCCAATCTGTAAAAAGTTTGAGCGAGGTGTTGATAGACAGGCAGAACAATCAGTTGTGAATATCAAATAACGACTTCATCACTCCACGGGCTTGTCATCCACTGAACCAGGCCAATAAAACGCTTCGTTTGATGTCGGCCAGCAGCATCTTCAGATATACAACAGATATTTAAATTTTCAAAGCTTCATAAAAAACATGGGGGCACATGGAACCGACAATCACATCAGCTGGAGAGGCAGATTCAGGGGAGGATAATCTAACAGTTTATGTCGTAATGAAAGCGGGGAGGATAATCTAACAGTTTATGTCGTAATGAAAGCAGTAACGACATCATCGGTTTCCACGATATCAACTACATCGGCTTCAGTCATAGTGTACCATCCGTTTCTATTAAAGGGTCATCTAACTTTGAATTTAATTATTTCTTTACATCTAACGAGTGTACTATTAGAGAAATCGACATGTACTTCTGCTTCCTAGCCCACACACCAGCCCATTGGCCGAGATGTTGTCACATGATACCTCCGCCAAGTTTTGTTGGATGTTTCATATCAACATTACCATATAATGATCCTGAAATTTCTGCCAAAAAGAAATATTTAATAAAAAATAAAATATCTGATCTGGAAGCAATACAACAAGGGGGAAAATGAATTAACTAAACGTCAAAATATAAGCTGAACGAGGTAAAATATGCTCTGACTAATTCGGTATTTATTACAAGGAGTGTGTATATTATATAATCTGTTGGAGAGATCTATACAGTAGAAGTTATGGGATGGGTATGTAATACTGTGTAATTACTTGTCTGTATAAACAAACAGCTATAACACAGCAATCCACAACACAACATCAAATAACACAGAACACAGAACCAAACAGCATTAAATCTGTACCAAAACTGACAAAAAGAATTCCACAGAAAAAACCCTAATATATGTTGAATATTATTGCTTCTAGCATTACCATACAAAATTTGAAAGGAATTGATTAAAAATAAAAAAAGTTCTTGCATTTACTACACAATGCCCTTATTTGGCAATAAAAGGGGCATTACTCCACCAAAAATGCACATAAATGAACTCATCCGAGCTATATTGGTACGCAATATGTGTACCAAGTTTGTGTTCAATCAACCCAAGGGAACTCAAGTTATCACACAGAAATCTTGTTACGGACAACGCAACCAACGAGTACGCCGACAAGGTAATACCTATATGTCATCTCATGTTGCAGGCGACACAAAAACACTGAAACTGAACATTATTAAAACACAATCAATTAAACATATTTAGTGTCAGCTACCTTTGAGAATGTAAATATGAAATTTCCCGCTGGGAATTTGTCATAAACACTATTTTTTTTAATTATTTTTTTATTATAAGTTAATTTGAATCAGATTACAACTTAGACCAATAAAGTTTAATCAATCCCCATTATTTCTGGGGATTTTGAAATGATTACATGTACTTTTCCTGTAGCTGCTGCCTAATAAAAATACAGGAGTTTCTCCAAATTTATTGACCAAACACTCAATAGTTTCATTACATTAAATTTTTTGTACAAATTGCTGTATGATTAAACCTATCTGGTCTTTAAAGGAGACGACCTTCAAGAACAGAATTCATAATGTTGGTTTCACAAGAAAGACTGAACACTTAATTTCAAAGTCAGTGATCTGAAGTTCACAAGTCACTCCATTGACCTTCAAATTAGGTCAGTGTCATTTCTGTTTGCCCTAAACTCAAGCATGCAACTGGTCATAATTATATGGTGACCCCTGGACTTTCAGTTCATCAATAAAACTCAAACGTTAACAGTTTCTGAGATATTAATTGACCCTCTGTGACCTTGAAAGCGGGTCAAGGTCACTTCTCTCCACAACTTTTTTTCATCAAAATATTTCATCAATATACTGGCAAAATATCTATGACTTCGTGTTTCTATCAAGTCATTTGAATGCCTTGAATAAAGGTCCAGGTAATTAAGTTCTTTTGTACATTTTATAGCACTCTTATGTCATCCAGCAAGCAATTGCAACTGGCCAGATATAATAAATCTAGGTCTTGGTTCTTTAGAAGAAGTATTATGAACATTTTACATATCAAACCTCAGTCACCTTGTTAGCACCTTAATGGCATTTTTTCCAATCAAACTTGTTTTTACAAATTCACCCTCTAAGACTTTAATTCTGTAAAGGTCATTCCTTTTTACAAGCTTTGTAGCACTCCATGCTGGCATTCTAATGGCCAAATATCATAATCTAGATATCTCTGTTCATTAGAAATTATTTGCAGTTTGTTTTTCTACATTTTTGACTTTGTCACGTGGAAGGTATTTTTCTGTCAAAATATGCCATGACTCTAAATATTTCTGTTTTTAATAAGAAGTTGATTGAGCATTTGGACATTTTTGGCTCCTGTGACCTTGAACGTAGTCAAAGTCATTGCTTTTCACAAACTTTTCAGCACTTCAGGCCAATGAGCTACTGGACAAACATCATAGAGCTAAGGCTTCAGCTCATTTAAATGACCAAGGTTATGATTTATCACAAACTTTATTGGGCTCAATTCATGTTAGTTCATTGCCAAATTTCATTACCCTAAGCTCCATGGAGACGAAAAAGTTAGAGTATGGACAAACAAACAGAAGGTGGCCATTTCTTGATACATGCAATCTTTTTTTATTTTGTTTTCTATGGACATATCATACTTATCATTCTCCTAACAGTCCCTAGTTATATACAAACAATACCATGTTTATTATTTATTTTGGAGGTCAGGCTAAGGGTGAATAGAAGGAACCCCCTCCTCTTCGCCCTCCTCTGCCCCCTCCCACACTTTATCAGGCACACCTCATTTCACACTATTCCAACTGCTCAGTTGCAATCAAAGATCCCACTTGAGATAGACTGACAGAATGGAGATTTAAACCACACAAATGTTCATCTGTATCCATAGGCAGAAAATTGGCCTTGTTATCAGTCTCCGATTGAGATTCTATCCCAGCGATTCTCCAGTAGTATGTAAACACATTGCTACATTATTTAATTCATCTTGCTCTGCTATAGAAATACAACAAACTATATGTCTGTTTGAAACAGAATGGAGTGTTAAATAGTCATATCAATACATTGTTTAAGACAGAAGTGATGCAATGTTAAATGGACACATACAAACATTGTTTGAGACATGTCATGTGACATTAAGATTGCTGTGTCTTACATGTCATGTGACATCATAATGCTGTGTGTCTTACATGTCATGTGACATCAACATACTGTGTCTTACATGTCATGTGACATCAAGATGCTTTGTCTTGCATGTCATGTGACATTGATATGGCTGTGTCTTACATGTCATGTGACATCAAGATGGATGTGTCTTACATGTCATGTGACATCAAAATGCTGTGTCTTACATGTCATGTGACATTGAGATGGCTGTGTCTTACATGTCATGTGACATTGAGGTGGCTGTGTCTTACATGTCATGTGACATCAAGATGGATGTGTCTTACATGTCACGTGACATCAAAATGCTGTGTCTTACATATCATGTGACATTGAGATGGCTGTGTATTACATGTCATGTGACATTGAGGTGGCTGTGTCTTACATGTCATGTGACATCAAGATGGCTGTGTCTTGCATGTCATGTGACATTGAGATTGCTGTGTCTTACATGTCATGTGACATTGAGGTGGCTGTGTCTTACATGTCATGTGACATTGAGATGGCTGTGTCTTACATGTCTTGTGGCATTGAGATGGCTGTGTCTTACATGTCATATGACATCAAGATTGAGGCAATCATACCAGACTATTATGTTTTGATACAGCTAGAGAAGAAGGCTACAAACCTGTCGAGTGAGGCTGAAAGGAGGCGTTGGTAGTTACTACAGAAGGCTAGGGACATAACCTGTTTGTGATGGTTACACAGTGTGGTCAGCAACCGGCCACCGGACAGAGCATCCCAAACCTTGACCACATTCCCACCTGTAATGATAAAATTTACCCTTGATCATCAACTATCAGTAAAATAAAACATATATATACTCACAATAAGTAAAATAAATGTCAATGTAACAAATGGCGATAAGTAAAGTCAATGTTTATAAAATCAAAATTAATCTAATAGATTTTCATTGTATAAATAGGATACGGCAATGACTATAAGGAGGTTTTAATGGTACATAAGCAAGCTTTCAATACTTTTAATAACATATATGGTTTTAAACCTTCAATGGTAAATAAGATTAAAAAGCTGTTTTGTATCTCATCATATACCAGTTTTAATAATAGAATTATTAATCTATTTTTTTAAATGCATTCCATGGTAAAAATACACTGATTTTGTTAATTGTCGACAGCTTCATAAACCTTGATGTATGTTCAATCCACATTTTTTTTTTAAAACATGAAAATCTATATGTACAATGTATATACTAATTCCGCTACTTCATTTGAACAACAAAAACCTGTACATCTGTTTTTTTAGACTTAATTAAAACAATGAAAACCTGTTAATATTCAGAGCTGGTTAGGATACAATCCAAATCTACATGACAACAGATAAGTAGAGGTTCCCCCCCTTACCCCTGGGCTGCCTACAGTTGTGTGTGTACTGGATCAGGTAGTGAGATATAGGTGCTGTGTAAGCTCAGGCGCCTTTTCATGTCTCACACGTGGAGTCTAAGGCTAGGACTGTATTTGAAGAGGAATCATTTGATGTCTATTACCAGACTGTTTGGCGATCAGTGTTTGGTTACGATTTCCTACATCAACAGTATGTCCCAATATTTTCCATTACGTGTTGTCATTTTTATCACATGATTTTACAAAAACCCTCCACATCAGTCTCAATTCAAAGGAATTAAATGATTGCTAAGAGAATTAACATGTCATCCTGGCTTCCTGGCTGAATTTTTTATTTACTCAAACGCCAACAACTATCACCAACCCTCTTTGTCAATTAACTTTTTCCTCCATTAAAATAAGGTAAATGTGCAATATGCAAAATGTTAATTTTAGTAAATCAGTTCCATGTGAGTTATGCGTTACCCAACTCCACTACAGGGCGGACTAAATTCAGGACACCTCCCTAGTGGAGCGGTAGGAATGTGTAATATCCTGTTATATTACAGAATGTGTGAAGAAACGATGACTGCTGCACAATTAATCATGTATGGATGTAAGTCTACATTTCTCAAGTTATTGTCTATCCTTTCATTGGTTGGTCTGCATTCCTTGTGTGGAGATGTTTTGTTATCTGCCCTTTCATTGGTTGGTCTGTGTTTCTTGTGTGGAGATGTTTTGTTATCTGCCCTTTCATTGGTTGGTCTGCATTTCTTGTGTGGAGATGTTTTGTTATCTGCTCTTTCATTGGTTGGTCTGCATTCCTTGTATGGAGATGTTTTGTTATGTGCCTTCCATGGTCAGTCGACATTCAGTGAGTTGTAAACATTAAACTTCATTAAAGTGCCCCTGATACAGTAAACCTCCTTACAGTGCCAAGCCCCTTGTTACATAGTAAAACCACATAATAATTGCTCTGTTACACAATCAGAAAACTTATTATAAAGCCCCTAATACACAGTAAACTTCCTTATAATCCCCTTTACACAGAAAGCCTTCTTATTCTGCCCTTGATACACAATAAACTTCCTTACAGTGCCTCTGATACACAGAAAACTGTACTGTGCCCTTTTTCCATTTCAAACCTCACTCAATAACAGTATGGCACCATAACAACATCTAACTAGATACCAATAATGACTTTCTGACTACAATTTGATTACATATTATGACACCCTTCAATTGTTCTGTTTTTATTTATGACTACAAGGGTAATTCATTTCTAAACAAAAGGCTCACACCAAAGAGCGGGGTCTGTACTTTTACTTACTTCACCTGGGCATTCTGTTCTTGTGTGTATACATTTAGTACATGTACGTTATATCTGTTAACTTTGAGTCTTAAATCTTTAATATGAGCAAATATATGAATGCCTTAATTGTACCATCAATTAATAAATTTTGAAATATTTGTGTATGTATGTATTATCAAAACTATTTGAAAAGTGATGTATCACTCCGTAAAGAATTATATGGTCATGAAATAAGTCTGGAATACGTGTTTTGTCACACCCAAGAAACAACTGTATCAATTACACGTACCACTAACTGATACTTCAGTCTCACTGTTCAACACACTCACACAATTCTAGTGACTAATCATGTGACATTACCTCAGAGTTCATGACCCCAGTAATTTACATACACAGACAGGTGCTTTATCGCCCTTACCCATCAACCCCAGTTTAACATGATAAAACAGTTTTACAAAATCATTCAAATACCCTAAATTACCACTATGCAAAGTAAACGTGGATTAGATTTCAAATTACTCAAGTTAATTTTTTCACCCTTTTTTTCTGAAAAACAGATTTCTAAAGACTCCACAGAACTATTTGCAATTTGTGTCTGTACTCTGCATTGTCAAATATCAGCCATGAATCTTTAAAGATATTAAGTCTTTTTATTAAATTAAATAGAGTTGAACTGGGGATGAATCATAGCATATTGTCACATGTTTTAAAAGTACATTCTGTAAAATTTCCATAAATAACATGTTACAGATGAATACTTGTTACTTGTGTAATTATAGGCCACATTTAAATATGTCCTATTATCCTACAAAACTACTTTTTCATATTCTGTTTTTTTTTGGACAATCTGTTTTTAAAAATATTTTTCCCTCAGATATTCTATTCAATCATTTCTGTATGATGTCAGTGTTAAGTCAATCTGAAAACATCCGAGTTCATCTTGAAAGAAAAGTCAATATACATAGTTTGACATTTTATCTCATATCTATAACAGTTTATAATAATGTATATACCTGGTCCAGTATTAGTCATCCATACACCTGGTCATAGAAACACCTGGTCCTATGTTACAGGTAACTGTTTATATACCTGGTCCTATGTTACAGGTAACTGTTTATATACCTGGTCCAATGTTACAGGTAACTGTTTATATACCTGGTCCAATGTTACAGGTAACTGTTTATATACCTGGTCCAATGTTACAGGTAACTGTTTATATACCTGGTCCAATGTTACAGGTAACTGTTTATATACCTGGTCCAATGTTACAGGTAACTGTTTATATACCTGGTCCAATGTTACAGGTAACTGTTTATATACCTGGTCCAATGTTACAGGTAACTGTTTATATACCTGGTCCAATGTTACAGGTAACTGTTTATATACCTGGTCCAATGTTACAGGTAACTGTTTATATACCTGGTCCAATGTTACAGGTAACTGTTTATATACCTGGTCCAATGTTACAGGTAACTGTTTATATACCTGGTCCAATGTTACAGGTGATCATTTATATACCTGGTCCTATGTTACAGGTAATCATTTATATACCTGGTCCTATGTTACAGGTGATCATTTATATACCTGGTCCAATGTTACAGATAATAATTTATATACCTGGTCCAATTTTACAGGTAATCATTTATATACCTGGTCCAATGTTACAGGTAATCATTTATATACCTGGTCCAATGTTACAGGTTATCATTTATATACCTTGTCCAATGTTACATGTTATCATTTATACACCTGGTCCTATGTTACAGGTAATCATTTATATACCTGGTCCAATGTTACAGGTTATCATTTATATACCTGGTCCAATGTTACATGTTATCATTTATATACCTGGTCCTATGTTACAGGTAATCATTTATATACCTGGTCTTATGTTACAGGGTATCATTTATATACCTGGTCCTATGTTACAGGTAATCATTTGTATACCTGGTCCTATGTTACAGGTTATCATTTATATACATGGTCTTTAGTTACAGGTAATCATTTATATACCTGGTCCTATGTTACAGGTGATCATGTATATACCTGGTCCAATGTTACAGGTAACTGTTTATATACCTGGTCCTATGTTACAGGTAATCATTTATATACCTGGTCCTATGTTACAGGTAATCATTTATATACCTGGTCCTTTTTAACAGGTAATCATTTATAAACTTGGTTCTATTTTTAATCCTGAGAAACCTTAATCAATTTTTTCTCACATTGGTTAAAGTACAATTATGATATCACATAGTTCTTAGCCCATCCTTTTTCTATACATCCAGGTGAGCTTAAAAACCTGACAATTTGTTAAATTTTCTCTCTTGTTCAAGGGAAAAAGGTTAAAATATATAACTTGGGAAAAATCATTTTCAGCTCCTTATTTCAACAATTTTACAGAACCTTTTACCAACACTTTTACTGCACTTTGTTTCAAAACTTTAACAGTGCCTTATTTCAATAATTTAACAATGACCTTGACCTTGGAACCTTGAAATACACACTCATTTGATGTATTTTTATTCTTGACCTTTATATGAAGTTTGATCAAAATCTATTAAGAAAAGAAATGAAGTTGCCAGAGCGATGAAACTGAATTGTGACAGGACTGGACAGGACATGGGTATAACACTATATACCTGTCCATACCATAAAACGTTGGGGCTTATAAATGTCAGAATTACAAATGTTCTCATGAAGATAGCGATGGTTCAACTGCTGGGAGTATGACTATGTTAACCTGTAGGAGTTCTTTATACTACATTCACCCCTGAAGACACATTTGAACCCTTCCAATTCAAAGGTTGGAATAGTTCATTATGAAACTTCAGGGGTCAATGAGTTAAACTTCTCAATGTTGAACTGTCATGTGACATCTCCCATCCAATCAGAGTAGAGCGTTTTGAACTCTGTATAACTACTAGAGGTGAAGCTGGGGTGATTACCACAGAAGACATCTGCAGATATTTGTAAATAACATTTCATCACTTGCAATGTCATTAAACAGAGTATCTATCGAATATAAGCCACTTAGATTGCTTGTACAGTCGTTGGTTTGCCATTGTTTCTTTCTATAATTACAGAATAGGCTACTAATGTCTTTTTC